CATCATCAGCCGCATCATCATAAGCATCAACATCGGCATCATCATCATAAGCATCATCAGCATCAGCATCATCATCATCAACATCAGCATCATCATATTCACCACAATCAGTATCGTCATCACTGCCACCGCCATCATCATCATCATCATCGACATCAGCATCATCAACATCGTCAGCATGACCATCATCATCATTAGTAGCATCAAAATCATGATCGTCGCCATCATCATCATCATCATCATCATCATCATCATCATCACCATCATCATCAGCATCATCATCATCATCTGCATCAGCATGATCATCATCATCATCATCATCATCAGCATCATCATCATCGCAAGCATCATCATCATCAACAGCATCAGCATCAGCGTCATCATCATCACATTCACCATCACCATCACCAGCATCATCATCATCATCATCAACAGCATTATCATTATCATCAGCATCAACATCATCATCGTTATCATAATCATCATCATCAGCAGCATCATCATGGTCATCAACCGCTGGCCATCACCATGCGCATGACCATCAGCCTCAGTATCATCGTCATCCTGGCCACTGCAATCATCATAGTAGATACCATTATCCTCGCAATCATGTCCCTCATCGCAAGTTAACATATGGGGTCTAGCCATCGGTTGCACCGTCATTTCCTTCGTAGTTTGCATTGTCATTCTTACTCGTCCCTCCTCCCCCAGCTGGCTGGCGGCCGCACTCCTCCATCCACCTCCCCATGCATCTTCCCCCGTCTCCTCCAGCCCCACTCCTCCTTCCTCCAGAGACAGAGATCCATTCAAAATCAGTCTCTAGACTCCATCCTGGGTCCATCCTGGCAGATGTTTCAGCACCGGTCGAATTGCGACGAGCCGGGGGCCCGAAACAGGACTCTGGGAAGATGACCAACAGGGTATTCCAACCAGCTCCTCCTCCTCCTCCTCCGCCTCTTCAGCCTCCTCCGCCATCCCTTCTCAATAAAAGATAAATCCTCCCTGTAGTACCCCCAGGCATGTCAGTAGGGCGGGCCAGGCGTTCAGCCTGACATTTCCTCACCACTTACAGCCCTTGATGGGCCAGTTTCTACCACCACAACAATAAGTAACTAGGAGGGGGAGGGGGTCCTCCTCCTCCTCCTCCTCCTCCTCCTCCTCCACCTTCTCCTCCTTCCCCCTCCAACTTATGGTGGTGGTGGTGGGAAACAGGCCCGTCAGCCCTGATGCTTGAAATTTGCAACCGTTTCACGGATGGAGAGCGGGTCGTTTCCAAAATGTAGCTCTCGCCTGAGGCACCGCGCACATTGTGTTGTAACAAGTTAGAACCCACGCATGCCTGGAGACGAACTTGCCGGCCAGTCAAGAGATGGGCTGACGCGTGATTCACGTCATTGTCTTTTACATCGTTTGTGTTTTCACCACCTACGGCCTGCCCAGGCTGTCTAACTTGGCCGCCAGCAGAAGACCGCTTCCGGCAGGGAGTTGGCGTCAGGCCACTCTGCTCTGCTTTGCTCTGCTCACGGATGGAGGGCGGGCCACTCTCAAAACGGGGCTCTCGCCTGAGCGCCGCGCTCGTCCCTAAAGTTTGCAACAGCTTCACGAATGGAGGGCGGGCCATTTTCAAAATGTGGCTCTCGCCTGCGCGCCGAGCACATCCGCCTGAAAAGCTTGCAACCGCATCGAGGATTGAGGGTGGGGCCTTTTTGATAATGTTGTTCCCGCCTGAGCGCCGCGCGCATTCGTCTTGAAAGTGGAAAATTGTTGCAAGGATTCGTATGGTTTAACTGCCAGGGACTGTGCCTTCGCACGGTTGAGAGATTGTCGGGACGCGACACTCATGCAACATTGGCGGTGTTGAAGTCCAAGTAGTGGTTATCTGGCACGACTTATGACTGTCAGGACGCAGCAGTCACATTGATTCGCGGCGCTGCCGTCCCAGGAATGACTTTTGGCACGATTGGAGATTCTCAGGCGGTTGTCGTCCAACGGGGCACTCCCCGCAATGAAAATACATCCTCAAAGGGACATATGAAGAGGGAACTTGGAGGGGGGGTTACCGCATCATGGTTGATGAGGCTTGGGTTTACATTGGTCGTCTTCCTCCCCCACCTCCTACTCCTCCTCCCCCCTCCTCCTGCTCTCCCTCCTCCTCCTCCTCCTTCTCCTCCTCCTCCTTCTCCTCACCATCACCATTACCATCACCAGCAACAGCAGCATCACCGTCAGCATCAGCACCACCACCATCATCATCATCATCAGCATCATCAGCATCATCATCAACATCATCCTCATCCTCATCCCGACGCATCCTCCGTCCTCCCGCTCCTCCCAAATCGGTCTTCCACTCGGCTGCTGAGAGAATGCCCCTGCCGCGGTTGCGACCTGTTCGTTGGCCTCCAACCTTATTTTTATCAGCGGTCGCGCCACTTGCCAGCGATGCATCGGGGTCAGCGCGGCTACCGGCGAGCTTCAGTGTCTCCTCGTCTTGCTCTTCCAACTCCTCCGTACCTCTTCCTCCTCCTCCTCCTCCATGTCCTCCTCCCCTTCTCCCGATCCCACTCCCTGCCTCCTCCTAACTCCTCCTCGTCGGCTACTACGACCCGGATTTCGACCACGACTCCTCGAAGTAATACCACTAAGTGTACCACCACTACGACTGGAGTTATCCGCAGTCGATATATCGCCTGGACAGCTGGGACCAGTATGCTTCTTACTTTATGGCTACTAACGATACTGCCTCTGTCGCCACTAGTACCTGTCAAGCAAAAAGGCGGGTAGCACTACCAATACGACAACCCATGCGACCACTGATGGCAACACCAGTACGACCACCCATGCGATCATGAGAATACCCAAGTACCATTCACGAGACCAATACGACCACCGAGGCGTGACGCATGCTTCCCCAACATTTCCTTTACAAGCTCCAGTGCTCCCACCACCACTAATCTCACCATACGACTAGCACCTGCCACTTTCACAATCTATCAGTACTAGACAACCACGATTAACCATCTCTACGAGCACACTATCGACCTCACTATGACCTGAAGCAGTATAGCAACCACGCGTATAGCACTACGATTACCACTGCCACTACCACTCAGCCCCTACTACAGCAACAAATCAACAACATGGGTCCGTCATGGACTCTTCGCGGGCAACTGGTACGACTACGACTACGACCTCGACTACACCTACGACTGCGACTGCTACTACTAAAACTACCACCCACACGAATACCAACACGACGACCACGACTACGACTGCTACTACTACTACTACTACTACTACTACGACGACGACGACTACTACTACTACCACTATTTTCGCTTCTGCTACTACTACTACTACTACTACTACTACTACTACCATTACTACTGTTACTACTACTACTACGACTACTACTATTATTACTACTACTACTACTATTACTACTACTACTACCACTACTACTACTACGACCACCACTACTACAGCTACTACTACTACTACTACTACTACTACTACTACTACTACTACTACTACTACTACTACTACTACTACGACTACGACTACGACTACGACTACGACTACTACTACTACTACTACTACTACTACTACTACTACTACTACTACTACTACTACTACTACTACGACCCTCACTACTAATACCACTACTACTACTACTACTACTACTACGACTACGGTTACTACTGGTAGTTCTGGTAGTTATGACGGTGACAGTGACCCCGTCAGTCTTGCTTCTCTGGTGGCACTACTGATACCACAAATACGACTACAGCTGCAATAACTATTAATACGATTACAACTACTACTAACACTACTACAACTAATACGACTACTACTACTAGTACTACTACTACTACTACGACTACTACTACTACCACCACTACTACTACTACTACTACTACGACTACTACTACTACTACTACCACTACTACTACGACTACGACTCCAACATGCCCTACGAATACTACTTCTACGACTACTACTGCTATTACTACTACTACTGCTACGACGACTACAGCTACTACGATTACTACTGCTCCGACTACTCCTACTACTACTACTACTACTACTACTACTACTACTACTGCTACTACTCTTTATACTACTTCTACTACTACTACTACTACTACTACGACTCCTCCTACTACTACTACTACTACGAGTACTAGTACTACTACTACCACTACTACTACTACTACTACTACTACTACTACTAGTACTACTACTACTACTACTACTACTACTACTACTACGACTACTACTACGGCTACTACTACTACTTATATGACTACTACAACTACGACTAGACTACTACTACTACTATTCTACTACTACTACTACTACTACTACGACTACTACTGCCACTACTACTACTACTACTACTACTACTACTGCTTCTACTACTACTACTACTACTACTACTACTACTACTACTACTGCTACTGCTACCACTACTACTACTACTACTACTACTACTACTACTACGACTACTACGACTACTACTATTAAACCTACTACTACTACAGGTACTACTACGACGACTACTACTTCTACTACGACTCCGATTCCATCTACGACTGCGACTGCGACTACGACTACAACTACTACTACTACTACTACTACTACTACTACCCCTCCTACCCCCCCCCCTACCACCTACTACTACTACTACTACTACTACTACTACTACTACTACTACTACTACGACTACTACGACTACTAGTACTACTACTGCTATTACTACTACTACTACTACTACGACACCTACTACTACTACTACTAACTACACACTGCTGCTACTCCTACTACTACTACTACGGCTACTACTATTACGACCACCACCACTACTACTACTACTACTACTACTACTACTACTAAAAAAATACTACTACTACTACTACTACTACTACTACTACTGCTACCGCCACCACTACTACTACTACTACTACTACTACTACTACTACTACTACTGCTGCTGCTACTACTACTACTACTACTACTACTACTACTACTACTATCACACAGTCTACGGCTACCCAACTACTATTACTACTCTGGGTGCTACTGCTGGTAGTACGGCTACGGCTATGGCTGCTACGACTACTGCTGCTACTACTACTACTACTACTACTACTACGACTACTACTACTACTACTACTACTACTACTACTACTACTACTACTGCTACTACTGCTACTACTACTACTACTACCACTACGACTTCCAATACTACGACGACGGCGGCTACTACTACTACTACTACTACTACTACTACTACTACTGCCACTACTACTACTACCCCTGCTACTACAACCTATGTCTCCCACCACTATGGCAAAGACCACTAATACCAGGACTACGACTAATCGTCTACTATCACTACCACTCCTGCTACTACTACTACTACTACTACGACTACTACTACTACTATTACTACTACTACTACTGCTACTAGTACTACTACTGCTGCTACTACTACTACTACTACTACTACTACGACTACTACTGCGACTACTGCGACAACTACTACTGCTACTGCTGCTACTTCTGCTACGACCACTACTACTACTACTACTACTACTACTACTACTACTACTACTACTACTACTACTACTACTACTACGACTACTAATACTAGTACTGCTAATATTACTACGACTACTGATACTACAACTAATACTAGTACTCCGAACACTACTACTACTACTACTACTACTACTACTACTACTACTACTACTCCTACTACTACTACTACTACTACTGCTGCTACTACGATCACTACTTCTACGACTGAGAGTACGACGGCGATTGCCACAACTACGCGGACTAGAACCATTACTACTACCACTTCTACCAGTACTTCGTCCACCGCCTCGCACATTAAACATCTCAATATTCGGACAACAACCAAATGATGCATGCCACTACGTCTACTGCGAACACGACGACGGCGACGACTACTACTACTACTACCACTACTACTACTACTGCTGCTACTACTACTACTACTACGACTACGACTACGACTACTACTACTACTACTACTACTACAACTACTACTACTACTACTACTACTACTACTACTACTACTACTACGACTACTGCGACTACTACTACTACAACTACTGCTGCTACTACTACTACTACTACAACTAGTACTACTACTACTATCACAAAGTCTACGGCTACCCAACTACTATTACTACTCTGGGTGCTACTGCTGGTAGTACGGCTACGGCTATGGCTGCTACTACTACTACTGCTACGACTACTACTACGGCTGCTACTACTACTACTACTACTACTACTACTACTACGACTTCCAATACTACGACGACGACGGCTACTACTACTACTACTACTACTACTACTACTAATACTGCTGCTACTACTACTACTACCACTACTACTACTACCCCTGCTACTACAACCTATGTCTCCCACCACTATGGCAAGGACCACTAATACCAAGACTACGACTAATCGTCTACTATCACTACCACTCCTGCTACTACTGCTACTACTACTACTACTACTACGACTACTACGACTACTACTACTATTACTACTACTACTACTACTGCCACTAGTACTACTACTGCTACTACTACTACTACTACTACTACTACAACTACTACTACTACTACTACGACTACTACTGCGACTACTGCGACAACTACTACTGCTACTGCTGCTACTTCTGCTACGACCACTACTACTACTACTACTACTACTACTACTACTACTACTACTACTACTACTACTACTACGACTACTAATACTATTACTGCTATTATTACTACGACTACTGCTACTACAACTAATACTAGTACTCCGAAGACTACTACTACTACTACTACTACTACTACTACTACTACTACTACTACTACTACTTACTACTACTACTACTACTGCTACTACGATCACTACTTCTACGACTAAGAGTACGACGGCGATTGCCACAACTACGCGGACTGGAACCATTACTACTACCACTTCTACAAGTACTTCGTCCACCGCCTCACACATTAAACATCTCAATATTCGGACAACAACCAAATGATGCATGCCACTACGTCTACTGCGAACACGACGACGGCGACGACTACTACTACTACTACTACTACTACTACGACTACTACTACTACTACTCCTACTGCTACTACTACTACTACTACTACTACTACTACTACTACGACTACGACTACGACTACTACTACTACTACGACTACTACTGCCACGTCTACTACTATTACTACTACTACTACTACGACGACGACTATTACTACTACTACTACTACTACTACTACTACTACTACTACTACTACTGGTACTACTACTACTACTAGTGCTACTGCTACTGCTACTACTACCACTACTACTACTACTACTACTACTACTACTACTACTGATACTACTACTACTACTACTACTACTGCTACTACAACTACTGCTGCTACTACTACTACTACTACCACCCCTACT